TTCTTTGTGTTTGACTCTCCGGGTTTTATTATTCATTCAGTTATATATATATATATTATTTGTTGTTGTTTTGTTTTCCTACATTTTTATTTTGCGTGATCAATTTTATTTGATTACAAACACACCAACTCAACACATTTTCACTCAATCACTGACATAAGCTCATGAGCAAAACAGTAAAACTCTCTCTTTCTCTCCCAATTTGTATGGAGTAATAGGATTTTGTTGTTGTTTTTTACTCAGCAACAAAATAAACTTTTTGTTTACCTTTAATATTTGTTTGTCTGTCTGTCTTTTCTCTGTGGCCTCAGTTAGACTTTTAATCGCATAAAGCTTTAATAATAATATTTACCTGCTTTAGCATGTTATCAATCTTGTTTTTATATTGATTCTTCTTTGTGCTGTTGTTTGTTTTGTTGTTTTTTTAATTATTAACTTTATCTCCATATGGTTTTTGTTGATACCCTACTGCTGAAAGTGATAGTTTTTAGGGCATAAACATGTTTGTTATTCTTTGTTAATTATTAAGTAAACTTGTTGCTTAAATTCAAAGCAACATTATTGCTTAAACAAGTTATACCGTAGGCACATGTTTAGCTACATTATTTATAACTTTTGTTAATACCCTACTGCTGAAAGTTTTGTGTTTTAAGGCATAAACAAGTTTGTTATTCTCTGTTAGTTATAAAGTAAACATGTTGCTTAAATTTAAAGCAACATTATTGCTTAAACAAGTTATACTCTAAGCACATGTTTAGCAACATTGTTTACAACTTTTTGAAAATATTTTTAAACGTATATATAAAGATTTTTTCATTTTAGGTTTATGCAAATGTTGCTAGCAACATGTATATGTTTTAAAATCATATGTAGCGACAGTTAGCTATCGCAGTATGTTGCTCATTGTTTGTAATGTAAAAGAACTGCTTTTCTTTTGAGGCCCAGTGAGCCTATACTTCCCCACCAGTGTTTATATAGTTTTACAGGTATTGCAACATGTTGCAACATTATCGAGTAATAAAATTTCTTGTCTGGTCAAATATTCTCGCAGTTTTTGTTCAATTATCGCTCGAAATGAATCAGTTTAACTCGCTACAAATTCCCTAATATCGATTTAAAAGATGTTTTCACTTTATCAACATGTTGCGGAATATTTAAAGGTCTCTTTGGTAATGATTTACAAGCAACATTGTATTAAACCATCTTCGCTTTATGTTGTTGTTGTAACACAACTCTTGCAGTTTGAAGTCTAAATCCCATTGTGGCTGTAATAAACATTTTGTTGCGACTCTCTTTACAGCAACATGTTCTTATCCTTCATAAAAAACTTTAAGCTTTCATGTCTGGCGGAATATTCAGGGTGTTTTTCAGTCAATATCCACATTAAGCGATGTGTTTCACTCGCAGCAGCAGCATGTTCCTATACATTATATAATACATTGAACTTTTATGTTCGACCGAATATTCTCGGAGTTTTTCGTTTAAAAATCGCTCCAAACGAATCAGGAACATCATAAGTCCCCTGTTATCGACTTAGAACTACTGAGTTTAGTCTTCAGTTTATCAACATGTTGCAGAATATTATAATATTTCATTTAAAAGCGACATAGTTTTATTTTGTTCATATTGGATTAAAGCTCGTTAACCTTTTGTTGTTGTTGTAATAGGACTGTTGTAGTTGAAAGGGTCAATAGAGTTGGAAGCGTAGATCTCTTGTAATGACTCTGTTTACAGCAGCATGTTTCTATTCTTTAAAAACATTGAATTTTCTTTTTGTTATAGCACTTTTGTAAAGTCCCATTTATTGGATTTTAGCAACATGTTGCTGACCTTGGCCGATAATTAGTAGCAACTAAACGTTGCACTCTATACAACATACGAAACAGTTGAATAAATGAAGAGCAAATTCACTCGCAGGTGGCCCGCTCCATCGTTCATGCGATTTAAATTATTTCGTTTTTTTTTTTTTAGTTTCTGGAGAGTAGATCTGTGTTGATCCTAGAACGATAGTGACCTTTTTTTTGCGACTACTTTTACAGCAACATTTTTCTAAACTTTTTATAAAACATTGAACTATGACTCTTTGCATACATAGTTCGATTTATTGTTTTTAGCAACATGTTGCTGAACGTGCCATAAATCTTAGGCCAGAATCCAATTAATTTGGAACATGTTGGTAAAACATGATATCACATGTCTAGTTGCTCGCATAGATGAGGATATAAAACAAGAAAATTTTGAAATGATATATATAACATTATTAAATGATATATAAATAATGATTATTTATATAATTAAGGGATGTTAACACATTTTGGCATTTAGTAAAAATTTTTATGTTTCTTAAAAATTCATAAAAAATCGATATTTATATAAATATTAACTTTTAAGTTTGCATCGGAAAGCTAAATATGTTGCAAATAAAATAAGATATATTTTTCCAAAATCGGAGAATATTTAATAATTTTATAGGTCTTATAGTAAAAGTAACAATTTTATATTAGTTGTGTTTTGTTGCTATCAATGAGTGTTAACGCTTAAAGTTAGCAACAAAGCGAACATTACCTGACTCCACAAAAGAAATCTGCTAAATCTTGAAATTATTTACAATTTCTTGAAAAGGGTTTTTTATTTGGTAATTTTCTTTGATTTAAATTTTATTTTAAAATATTTTTTTATTGTTTGACATAAACACATTAATATTTGTATTTTTATTTTTGAATTGGTAGCACTTTTATCGACGTTAAAATTAACTTGTATAATTTTACACGTTAACTCCTAACGTTTATATATTTTAAATTTATATGAAATTGCCTTTGAACGTTAGCAACAAAACACAACTATTGAAAATTATTTTCGATTTTCAAAAATTCATAAAAAATCGAAAAGTATCATAAAAGTGGATAAGATTTGTAGGTTGAGAAGTTAAATATGTTAAAAATAAAATGAGATACAAAACCTTAAAAACGATATATAAAAATAATGATTATTTACATAATTAAGAGATGTTAACACTTTTTGGCATAAAGCCGAAATTGAAAATTTTAGGGTTTTTTTAAAAATTCATAAAAAATCGATAATTATTAAAAATGTTAACTTTTAAATTTGCATCATAAAGCTTAATACGTTGCAAATAAAATGAGATATAGTTTTTAAAAATCGATGTATAAATAATACTTTTTATAGTACAAATTTTTGTTAGAAATTTTAAATTGAAAATTTTTGAAATTATTTTTGATTTTTAAAAATTCATAAAAAATCGAAAAGATTAAAAAAATTGGATTAGATTTGTAGGTAGAGAAGTTAAATATATTAAAAATAAAATGAGATATAAAAAAATAATGATTATTTACATAATTAAGAGATGTTAACACTTTTTGGCATAAAGCCGAAATTGAAAATTTTAGGGTTTTTTTAAAACTTCATAAAAAAATCGATAATTATTAAAAATGTTAACTTTTAAATTTGCATCATAAAGCTTAATACGTTGCAAATAAAATGAGATATAATTTTTAAAAATCGATGTATAAATAATACTTTTATAGACCCTCTAGTAAAAGTACCAATTTTTGTTAGAAATTTTAAATTGAAAATTTTTGAAATTATTTTTGATTTTTAAAAATTCATAAAAAATCGAAAACTTTTAAAAATGTTAACTTTTAAATTTGCATCATAGAGCTAAATATGTTCAAAATCGATAAATATATAATCATTTTATAGACCCTTTAGTAAAAGTACCTACCTAATTTTGTTAGAAATGTAATTTTTTTTTAATTTTAAAAATTTCAAAAAATTTTTAAAATTATAAAAATTTTAATATTATTTTAAAATTTGATAATTTAAGAACTTTTAAATAAATCAAATTTAATTTGACAAAAATCGCTTTATTATTTTCCATTTTTTGGGCTATTTTGTGTAGATGTTATATTATGTCACGAATTCATTAATAGTTGATTTTCAAAAATTTTTTAAAAATCTAAAAGTTTTTAAATTAAAATTTTTATTTTTTAATTACAAAGCTAAAGGTAATAAAAATAATTATATAGAATTTTATTAAAATTCTAACATAAATAACAAAGATTTTTAAAATTAAATGAAAATATTTTAAATTGTAATTTAAAATATTAAGTTTCTTTGTTTGAGTTGTAATTGCCTTTTATAGCGTTCATTTTAATATATTTTATTTAAAAGTATATTTTTTTTATCTAAATGATATTTATTATCTTGATTTTTTTTTTCATATTTTTTATATGAGTTTTTTTACAATTTATAAAACTTACTCATTGTCAGTTTTGTGCTATTTGCCCTTTTATATATTTATTTTTTATTTTATAATTTAAACTGATTTAAATTTAAATAATTTAATGCTTTGTTCTGTTAAAACAATACAACAACAAACAATAATCATCAATGACAACTGGCCACGAGTAGTCAGTTAGTCCGCCAGTCACCACTGACTATAATCAAGTGGCTTTAACTTCAAATTTAATCAATTCTACTTGCATATTTAATCATAAATTAATAAACAAATAAAATAAAAAAAACTAATTTATATTTAGTATATTCCAGTTTATATTCTAAATCAAATTGTAATCATATCTAGACTTTGATTCTAGTGATTAATTAAAATTAATTATTTCAGTTACAGGTTTTTAAAATGGAAAATTACTCTAGTCGCGTTCTAGTTTTTTTTTTATATTTCATATTTTATTTGTAATCTAAAATATGTTTTGAAATTGTATTTAATTAACACATTTTTTTTATTTAGTATATAATTAAAATTGTATATAAATTATATGTTTTCTAATAAGTATAATTAGAATAATTATAAAAATCTGGTTCTAGTGAGCTTTATATGAACTGCCCTTTAAATCAGGGTTTAACAATATTAAATATTTTATATATTTTTAGAAATAACTTTTCCTTTAATTTTTCTTAATTTCCCATTAATACTTTTACTAACAATTTTTCCCTTTTCTTTCGTTTCTTCCTTTTATTAGGTATGTCCTTTATAGTTTATTTAATATTTCGTTATCCCAACGGTAAGTGTCAAAATTCAATTTACAATTTACTAAGTTTACTTTTTAGTTAATTAGTTTAAACTAAATTAGTTATAATTGACTAGACTTTAAGTAAACAATAATAATAATAACGGATTCCTTGAATCCATATCCTGTGTGCTCTCTACACACATATACTCTTTAAGTAAATACTAATAAAATGGCGTGTAATTGATATTATTACACATACATACATACAATACAATAATTGTAATTAATTGCAGGGGGAAAAAAAGTTATACAAATGCCACATACCAGCTAACAATAAGTCACTGACATTCCTTTCAAAGGAGTCCTTGAAAAGTGTATATTAATTTTCCTTTATAACACTAAGCAACAGGAAAAGGATAAGTTATAGCTATAGATCTTAAAAAGCTTTTAGTGTCTCGATTTCTCGATATTTTTAATAACTTAGGTTTAAAGGATACTGTATAAGTAAAAATTAAAAAAAAATTAAAATAATTTTTAATTTTTAAAAATTCATTAAAATTTGACAAATTATTAAAACTAAAATTATTTTTTAGCAATATCAAAGCTAAAGGTGTAAGAAATTAAATAAAATTTTATTTTATAAAAATCTAAACATAAATAATGATTTTATAAACATTTAAGTGTTGTTAACCTAATTTGACTTATAAACAAAATTGAAAAAATTTTTATTTTTCAAAAATTCATAAAAAATGGAAAACAATCAAGAATTCATCCCGATTGGATGGGATCATAAAGCTTCAAATGTTAGCTATATACTAAAATATATTTTATTAAAATCGAGGAAAAAATAATGATTTTTTTCGCAATTAAGTGGTGTTAACTCAATTTGATATATGAACGAAATTAAAAAATGCTTAATTTTAAAAAATTCATAAAAATTCGAAAACGATCAAGAATTCTTTCTAATTGGATGGGATTGTAAAGCTTAAAATGTTATCTATATATAAAAATATATTTTATAAAAATCGATGCATAAATCAAGATTTTGTTAACAATTAAGTGATGTTAACACATTTAGATATATGAACAAAATTGAAAATTTTTTATTTTTCAAAAATTCGTAAAAAATCGAAAACGATCAAGAATTCTTCCTGATTGGATGGAATCGTAAAGCTTAAAATGTAACCAATGTATTAAAATATATTTTATTAAAATCGATGCATAAGTCATGATTTTGTTAATAATTTAGTGATGTTAACACATTTTAATATATGAACAAAATTTAAAATTTTTTATTTTTCAAAAATTCGTAAAAAATCAAAATCGATCAAGAATTATTCCTGATTAGAAGGGATCATAAAGCTAAAAATATTTCCAATAAAAGGAGCTATATTTTATTAAAATCTATGCATAAATACAGATTTTATTCAAAATTAAGTGGAGTTAACTAAATTTGACATATAAACGAAATTGAAAAATTTTTTAATTTTCAAAAATTCATAAAAAAATCGAAAACGATCAAGAATTCTTTCTGATCGAATGGGAACGTAGAGCTTAAAAAGTTACCATTAAAATGCATTATAATTTATTAAAATCTATGCATAAATTCAGATTTTATTAACAATTAAGTGATACTAAAACAATTTGGCATATGAACTAAATTGAAAAAATATAGTTTTTCAAAAATTCATTATAAATTGAAAACGATCAAGAATTATTCCTGATTAGAAGGTATCGTAAAGCTTAAAATGTTACAAATAAAACGACACCTATTTTATAAAAATTTATGCAAAAATAATAATTTTATGTATAATCAAGTGCTAATACCCCCCATTTGAAGAAATAGCAAAACTGAAAAATTTTTGATTTTTTAAAAAATCATTAAAATCGAAAACCAAAAAAATTTTGCCTTTTATTACTGGATCCTAAAGCTAAATATATAAGCAATAAAATGAAATATATTTTATTGAAATCGATGCAAAAATAATGATTTTATTCATAATTTAATGTTAATACTAAATTTTGTCATATGAACAAAATTTAAATATTTTTTTTATTTTAAAAAATTTATAAAAAATCGACAAATAAGGAAAATGATTTTTTATTATAATTATGATAAAGCCAGATATGTTAAATATAAAATAAGCCTTATTCTAGAAAAATCGATTTATAAATAATGAAATTATTCACAATTTTATAAAATTACCAAATTTTGAAAAAAAATTTTTATTTTTAGACAAAAATTCCTTTAACAGTTTAAAATTTATTCTAAAATTATCTTATAAATCTTGTGCTTTCGAATCTCTGTTGCCCAGTGTTATATACATATTTTCATAAAAGGAAAGGACTTTAATACAATAAACTATTGATATCTTCTTCGTTTTTTGTTGCCTGTGTGGTTAGTTCATTCTTCGAAAACGACCAAGAATTCATCCCGATTGGAGGGGATCGTAAAGCTTAAAATGTAACCAATATATTAAAATATATTTTATTAAAATCAATGAACAAATAATGATTTTACTCGCAATTAAGTGATGTTAACACATTTTAATATATGAACGAAATTGAAAAAATTTTATTTTTCAAAAATTTATAAAAAATCGAAAACGGTCCAGAATTCATCCCGATTGGAAAAATCGACAAATAAGGAAAATGATTTTTTATTATGATTATTATAAAGCCAGATATGTTAAAGATAAAATAAGCCTTATTCTAGAAATATCGATTTATAAATAATGAAGTTATTTCACAATTTTATAAAATTACCAAATTTTGAAAAAAAGTTGTTATTTTTAGACCAAAATTCCTTTAACAGTTTAAAATTTATTCTAAAATTATCTTACAAATCCTATGCTTTCGAATATCTGTTGCCCAGTGTTATATATATATTTTCATAAAAGGAAAGGACTTTAATACAATAAACTATTGATATCTTCTTCGTTTTTTGTTGCCTGTGTGGTTAGTTCATTCTTCAGCTCTGAATGTGTTTGATTTTCAATTTTCTATTTTATTTTTGTGCTCTTTTTTTTATTCAATAGACTAATTAATGAGCCGATAGTAAGAGTCCTTAAATCAAAAAGGATTTCAATGGGCTAATTGTAAATGAACTTTGAGTGTTAAGGCAGCTAGCAGCAAAGTACTAAATACATATAAAAGTAGAAATAGTAAATCAAAGTTAGAAATTTAATTTTATCTATTGCTGGTTTAATTCTTATGAAATTTTGAATTTTTGTTAATAAAATGTATATTTGGTAAGCAGAAAAAGAAACAAAAATGCAAAATATTTGCCTTTCTTTAAAAGCTTTGCAAATATGCATATTTTTTGCCTATTGTTGGTTAAAGATTTTGAAATTTGTGGGCAAAAATGCACAATATTCACCTATTGACAATTAAGCTGATTAAAAATGTTGCATTTTTTATAAAAAAAATACCACCAAAAGGCAATTTGAGGGCAAAACATGCAAACTTTTTGAATATCAATAAATTAAGTCATTAAAACCTTTAGCTTTTCGAAGGGCAGTTTGAGGGCAAAAATGCAAAATATTTACGTTCTTGAAAAATGTTGCATTATGCAAACAATTCAAATATTTGAAAATGTTGCCCTAACACAAAATGCAAATGAAAATTTAGCAAATTTTTTCAAAAAAGGGCAATTTTAGTGCAAAAATGCAAAATACTTCCCTATACGCAATTTAAGTCTTTGAAAATATTTGCCCCTTTTTTATAAATTTATAAAAATTTATGACAATTTCCTTAGCAATTAGTTTCGACATTTTAAATGTATTTTCTAATTCCAATATAATTTTTATTTCTACTCAATTGTAATTGCAGTTAAGTGGTTGTTTGCAGTTTTTTTTTCTAAAAAAAAACTAAGAAATGTTAAATATTTAAATACAAAGTCCTTTTACACAGGAAAAAATACAATACATTTGACATTGATAATGTTTTTACTAGAATTGCAATATTCATTGTTGTTTAGAAGGACATGTTTTTATAAACATTTCTTGCTTACCAATTTTTTTCTTGTGCTGAAATAAAAACTACATTTGCTTTTAGAAAAAAATGTACAAATATAACATTTATGACAGCAACAGAATTATTATATTCAATATATATTATTATGCTATTGTAGTATTTAATCTTAAATCTGTATTGACAGCAAAAAATATACAAATGTTTCTTTAATCAAATATATTTTTAAACATCATCATCGTCATCACTGTTTGAATTATTTCTAGTTGTCCTATTTTCTTACTACCTCTCTTTCACTCTCTTTCCCCCTCTATAGCAGGCTAAACAAACCTAGATTTGTTGTAAATAGTTCATTTCCTTTTTTTACTAAAAATATAAACTAAATCATACAATTTGCTGTTTAAAAATACTTTTAGATTTGTTTGAATGTGTTTGTCTGTAAAGCCTTATAAATATTTTAATAAATTTCTTTCTTTATTCTGCACAATTGAATAGTTAATTTAAGTATTTCTTTCGTATTTATTTCAAATATGGTCTGTTGTTTCTGTGTGTGTGTGTGAGTTTACTTGCAGACATTTTATTTCCGTTTGATTTAAGGCGCATGTCCTGTTTTGGCGTCTAGAGTATTGGTGTCACTTTTTTTGTTGTTGGTTTTTGTTTATTTAGGGATTTTATAAAACTGGTAGAGTGAGAGAGCGAGATTGTAATAAAAATAAACATTACAATCGATTTAAGCTAAAAATGAAAATTTTGAAATTTGGTAGAAAAACAGGGCTGTCAAAAAGGACAATAAACTGTTCTATACTTCAGACTATAGACTGTTTTATAGTACAGTTAACTGACTGTTGTATACACCAGACTATAGACGGTTCTATAGTCCAGACTACAGACTGTTCTATAGTCCAGACTATAGACTGTTCTATAGTCCAGACTACGGACTGTTCTATAGTCCAGATTATAGACTGTTCAATAGACTGATTTATAGTCCAAACTATAGTCTATTCTGTAGTCCAGACTATAGACTATTCTACAGTCCAGACTATGGACTTTTATATAGTCCAGACTATAGACTGTGCTATAGTCCAGACTATAGACTAT